TAGGAAGCTCCACCCCTTCGGAAGCTCCACCCCTGTGGGAAGCCCACCCCTTCGGAAGCTCCACCCCTTGGGAAGCTCCACCCCTTGGGAAGCTCCACCCCTTGGGAAGCTCCACCCCTCTGAGTCTGCGCCTGTGTCACGGCTGCTCTCTGCATGTATGAGTGCGAACGCGTGGCGATGAACGAGCCGCCATGTCTGTTGTTGTAAAGGAGACGTTTTCTCACCGTGCAGCTCTGGTTCTGACTCGTCCTGCTCCGGTTTTGGCGACGACCCTCCAGCGTTCTGGCGATTCTGGCTGCTGATTGGCTGAGCCTGGTTCTGGCAGGCTCCGCCCTCTCTGCTCTCCTAACGGTTGGTGGAAAAGCATTAAATGTTTTACTGGAACAGAGAAACCCACGAAGCCCGACTCGAGTATCAGAGTGTTTTAGTGTTTCTTACGTTCAGAACATCCACGCTGACTTTTTCAAAATGGCGGCTCCTCAGTTCCCTCCTGCGGGCGTGGACTTCCTCGTACTTCTCCTCGGCCAGCTTCCTGTAGAGGACAGAGGACACGCTGTGAGGTAACAGTTCCTTCATGCGGTGCAACCAGAAGGTTTTTCTCTGATCCCCCTCCAGCTCACCTCCTCGTGCACCTTTACACCACTTCCTGTTTCGTTCTGTCTCCCTGGTAACCATCTGCACTCAATAAAGATGCTTCAGGGACGTGGACACGTGACTTATGCTGCTCTGCCCAGCTGCTGTTCATGTTATTTTGCCTTATTTTACACTTTGGTCATGAAATAAGCTGCAGAATATATAACGATATATAACCTGTAGAATAAAGATGCATAAATCCTCACGTTGGACGGGTGGAGGGTTGTAGCTCTGCAGCTACAACCCTCCACCCGTCTCCTGACAGCATCTCTCTGTGAGAGGAAACAGGGAACCATAAGCTTATTTCAGGGTAGTGCACAAGTTTCCTGGTAATGAAAGGTGGCTTCTGGGCACCGATAAACGAGGTGATAACAGCCGACGTGTCCACGGACAGATGACGGCGCTTTAACGGGCTTTAAGTGTGTAAACAGGTGTGGAGTCAGCAGCTGCTTCATTAAGAGCGAACGGGGAGGATCTGCAGCGTGTTTGTGGATAAATCTCTCATTTCATGTGAGCCGGACTCAAACACATGTTCAGGTTCTGGTTCCTGCAGAAACCGTCCGCGTGCTGCCAAACAGCCGCGCCGGCCTGCTGTCCTCCCTGCCCTCCCATGTGATCTCCGTCTGCACGCCATCTGACGAGGATCCGTGTTGGCGGCGCGCTGGCGTCGTTCGCGGGCTTCTGAGCACATTCACACTTTATTACGCACACGGTGACGACAACAAGCGTTTAACGGCCCCCTCGCCGTGACGAAAGTCGATTAGCACGCCGGCTCGGGGGGACGGAAACCAGAATGTGTCAGATCCAATTTGGATAATGTC